CACCTTTTTTTTTTTTAAGAGATATTTTTGCTATATTGTGTGTGTGCTTGCTAGAGAGACAGAGGAACAGAAAGTGAGAAATCACCCCCTTAGGGACCATGGCCAGGCTGCAATCTCTTCTTCATTCTCCTCTCAGGATTTTGGGCACACACATGCATGCCCGTTGTGAGTTTAAATTGTTGGTCCAGGACTCAAACCATGGTCTACTATGTGGGAGTCCAGCAACATAACCATTACCCCATCTACTGGTCCCAAGAGATTCCAACACCTTAACTTCCATGCCAGCTGCTGGCCCACAAATACTTGTTTTAAAGAATTATTGTAGGGGGGACCAGCAGTTAGTGTAATGGTTATGTCGCTGGACTCCCATGTAGTTGACCACGGTTCAAGTCCCAGACCTGGTGGCTTAAACTCATGCCGGGTGCATGTGCGTGCGTGCCCAAGATCCCGAGAGGAGAATGGAGGAGAAGGGATTGTGGCATGGCCATCCCCCCTGGGGGGTGATTTATTTGCTTTCTGTCTCTCTGTCTCTCTCTATCTTTCTGGTGAGCACATGCACCCTATAGCAAAAATGACTCCAAAAAAAAAAATTATTGTGGGGCCAGCAGGTAGCATAGTGGTTAAGGCACTGGACTCCTATGTGGTCAGCCACAGTTCGAGTCTCAGACCTGGTGGCTTGACATTCATGCCAGGTGCATGTACGTACATGCCCAAAATCCCAAGAGGAGAATGAAGGAGAAGGGATTGTGGTGTGGCCATCTGCATCTCCTGCACCCTCGTGAAGTGATTAAGTGATTTCTCGCTTTCTGTCTCTCTGTCTCTCCAGTGAGTACACACATGCTATAGCAAAAAAAATCTAAAAAAAAAAGTTACCGTAAGGAGTAATTTAGATAATGTGTTGAAAAGAAAGTGCCAGTGCTTGGTAATAAACAGTAAATGTTAGGTGATAGGGCAAGCCCTGTGGCATGGTGGTTAAAGAAGCTAGATCCTACATGGATAATCACATGGTTCAAATCCCAGCCCCAGTGGCTTGAAAAACACACCAGATGCCCCAAATCCTGAACAGGGTGGAGAGAGGGAGGAGAAGGGATTGCAGTGTGACCACGGTCCTCTTTCTCTCTGTCTCTTTGGAGAGCACACATGCTTTCTGGCAAACTTAAAATGAATAAACGTATTTAAATAAACAATTTTTTTCAATAATTATTTTATTCAATTTTATTCATTCATTCATTTATTTTAATTTGACTAGAGAGACAGACAGAAAGAGAGAGAGAGAGGAAAGTGAGAAAGCAAGCCACCAGGTCCAGGACTTGAACCATGGTCAGCCATGTGGGAGTGTCCAGCGCCTTAACCACCATGCCACCCGCCAGTTCCCTAAATAAACAATTAAGTGAGTAAGTGGTGTTATCCCCTACTCCTGACCACACACATTCCTGGGTAGACACCAGGGGCTGGCACTGGGTAGGAGCAGAGGGGCCATGATCTGCTATTCTTTTTTAAAGCATTATTTTATTTAACTTTATTTATTTATTCATTCATCTATTTCAATTTGACCAGAAAGGGACAGAGTGAGTGAGATGGAAAGAGAGAGAGAAAGAAAGCAAGCCGCCAGGTCCAGGACTCGAACTGTGGTCAGCTTCGTGGGAGTCCAGCACCCCTAACCACCACGCCACCTGCTGGCCCCATGATTTGCTATTTTTGTCCAATCACCTCCTTCCCTACTTTACCCACCTACAAGCCAGGCCTTCCTGGGGTGGAAAAGTACCCAGAGATGTGCATAGCACCCCTGGCTGCTGGACACTTTGGACTCGATAGGTCGAGCAGAAGTCAGCACCAGGTGGCAGGAGCCCACAGAGACCCTCTGTGGGGACCCCTTCGCCTTTGGCTTCCGGCCCTGCTAGACTCAGTCTGCAGGGTTGTTCGTTAATCCAGGCCAGCTCCGATTTCCTCCAATCTAGTCCCTGCATTGGGGAGTGGGAAGCTGACACTCTGCCCCCTGCCCCTTCTGCTGTAGGGGTGAGGGCCATGTTCTCTGAGAGGGCTGATCCCTGGAGCTGAACCTGTCCCCTCCCCAGGCTCAGGTTCGTCCTCGCTGCGGACGCCTTGTGGCCTTCAGCTCCGGCGTGGAGAATCCCCATGGTGTGTGGGCCGTGACACGGGGACGGCGCTGTGCCCTGGCCCTGTGGCACACATGGGCACCTGAGCACAGGGAGCAGGTATGGAGGAGTAGGGTGGGGGGGATAGGAAGGGACATGGTTCTCCTGGTGAGCCAAGGTGGGCATTGAGGAAGCTCAGGGTGGGCTGGGGCAGCGGCCGGGATGGCCCAGGGAGGGTGGGTGCAGGGGCTGGGCCAAACTGTCCTCACACCTAGGAGTGGACGGAAGCCAAAGAGCTGCTGCAGGAGCCGGAGAAGGAGGAGGAAGAGGAGGCCATGCCCAGCAGAGATCCCTCCCCAGAGCCCCCCAGCCTCAGGCTACAACGGGCCCAAGACAAAGCCACGAAGCCACCTCGGGTCCGGGAGGAGCTATGAGCGGCTCAGCCAGCTCCTTGGGGATGTGACCCCGAGACTTGGGAAAAGCCGCCTGGAGGCCAGGACCCACGAGACGCCCCCGTGCCACAGCAGGAGCAGAACAGCGAGCTCTCTGTCCCAGCCCCACCATCTGCGGGCCTCCGGGGCCGTTCAGCTCCGGACCCAGAGGACACTGCACGGACGAGCCTTGAGCTCTCGAGGCCTGGGAGCCAGGACTGCAGTCCTGAGGAGACAGAGGACACTGCGGCTGCCTAGCAGAAATGGCGGGGTGGGACCCCGACTGCTGAGTGGGGACGAGGGGGACGGCCCTGCTTCCCTGTCCCCATGTGCAATAAAGAACGTGCAGTCCGCTCAGCCGGCCGTCGGCGCATCCCAGTTTCTGTGGGAGCAGGAGGTGGGGTGACAGTGCAGGTCTGGGAGGGGACACATGTCTCTGGGCCTCCCAGAGGCAGGCCACTTGGACCTGTGATTTGTCAGGGAAATCTCAGCCACCTGCTCCCCTCATGCAAATACTCCCCGCCCCAACAGCTGCTCCCGGGCCTCCAGCTCCCAGCCTGCCTCCCCTCCGAGCTTGGCAGAGACTTAGGACAGCCCGGCCCCTCAGGCTCCTGTCTTTACAGCCCTGCAGGGCCCCGTGAGTCATGGGGACAAAGAGGGGACCAGGCCTGCGAGCAGGGGCTGGAGTTGCCCTCCATGTGCAATCCTTTCTCCCTCAAAGTGGGGACAGGTCTGTCCGCCCTTCCCTCTGGTTCCCCTGCACCTCTCCCCAGCCTGGGATCAGACCCAAGGGCAGCTGGTTGGGGTTTGTTGGGAAGGAGGATTATCCAGATCAGTCCTTCCTAATCTCCGCTCCTGCCTGTACCCTCCCATGGTGGCCGGACCTTCGTCCCCCACCACCCTGAGCTCAGGAACACAGTTTGGAGGACAGGCCATGGGGCCAGCAATCACCCTCATAGGCTGGCTCCCCGGCTGGCTGGGGAGCAGGCCCTGACTGCTGAGATGTCTCCCGGTGTTGGGGGTTCGGGCCAGGGGCAGGGAGCTGTGGTTGCTACTGCTCCTTTGCACCCCTCCCAAACCCCAACTCTTAATCCTCACAGCTTTGCTCTAATCCCAGGGGGCCTGATGCTCTTATGTCTGCCTGCAGAGAGACTGACCAAGGGAAGCACCCCTCCGACCCCTCCTCCCTCCCAGAGCTTGTTATTGGGGGGCTGTTTCTCTGTAGCCTCACCCCTACTCCCAGCCCTCCTCCAGTCTGACCCCAAGTCTAGAAGCCACACACCTCCTGCTCGCCCGCCCTGCCTGCACTGCCCCCCCCCCCGCTGATTTCATTTGCCTGACGTCCACGTCGTTGGCCCTACCCTTCCCTGTCAGTGACCCCCCCCAGTGGGGGCCAGGCCAGGCCAGCTCCTCTGGCAGCAGAACCCGGGCAGGTGACGGGCGGGCGTCGTAGCTGAGAGAGTGAGGAGGCACCCGGGAACCGGAGCTGGAAACCTGGGAGAGGTCCAGCCAGAGCCCAAGTAAGAAGGAGCTGGCCTGGGCTCGGCGCTCGGGCTGGGGCTGTAGGGAGGGCTCGGGTCTGGCGGTGGGAGCCGACTGTGCAAGCTGCACACCCACAGGGCTGGCCGGGAGGAGGTGCAGGCACTCTGCTGCCTCCGGTTCCTGGCGTGGGCATGAAGGACAGGAGCATGGCCTGGCGGGGAGTCCCCAGCACCTACTACCCTGTGTTCCTGGCAGGAGCCTGAGCGACCCTCCACCTGTCAGCCATGGGGGAGATGGAGCAGTTGAAGCAGGAGGCGGAGCAGCTCAAGAAGCAGATTGCAGTAACCCCAGAACCCTCCCAAAGGGGACCCCAGAAAACAGACCTGAGGACATGAGCAGTGTGGCCGGGGGTTGGGGGGGGTGTTTGCTCTTCAGGGGCATCTCGGAGACCTCAGACCTAGAAATGCCCTGAGACTCCCTGAACCTGAATCACATATTTGAGACCTGCCCCTGCCCCCAGAGCCCAAGCCCACCTACCCAGGAGGACCATGCACCCACCGCCCACCCCGCCTCTCCTCCCCTGTCTGCTCTCCCTGCAGGATGCCAGGAAAGCCTGTGCTGACACCACTCTGGCAGAGGTGAGCTCTGATGGCAGAGGGCAGGACATGAGGGGAGGGATGGGGGCTCCCCGACTGGCAACAGGCTGCTGCCCCAGCTGTAGGACAGCGTGGCCTCGGGTGAGGAGTGGCACTCATTCTCACGAAGCAAACACTTAGCAAGAGACCTCCTCGCAGCCAGGGGCCCTAATGGCTGCTGGCCACGCAGACCGGTTTCTAGCCTTGTCCATGAAACACTCGCCTCACAGAGCCGGGAGGGTGGACAGAGAGTACTTGGCCGATCATAAAGCCTTCCGGACTCGGGTTGCCAGTGGGCCGAAACTGGATTTCATCCATTCGAAGATGCCCGTGTTGTCCTACCTTGACATCTCTGAAATCGAGATGCAACCAACAATGGATGGTGCCTTACGAGTATATTTTTTCAAAAGAATTATTTATTTATTTATTTATGATGATGATTATTTTTCACATGAGTTTTGCCAGAGAGAGGGAGAGTGAGAAAGCAAGCCGCCAGGTCCAGGACTTGAACTGTGGATGGCCATGTGGGAATTCCAATTCCTTAACCACCACGGCACCTGCTGGACCCAACAATTATATTTTTAAACATTTATTTATTGATGTACTTATTTGTTGCGACTGTCAAGCCGCTGGGTCTAGGACTTGAACTGTGGTAAGCCATGTGGGAATCCAGCAAATTTAACCACCACACCACCTGCTGGCCCTACAATGATAATTTTTATATTTTTCCTTTCTTAGTGATATGTAAAAAAACGGTGCTTCTTAGAGTTGATGGCATCTAAGATTGGATTGACCATGTTGATGATACGAGTGAACATTTACCATAGGCCAGACATCAAGCTAAGCTGCTTACGCACAGAATTTCGCTGAATTTTCATGACAACTCTGGGAGGCAGAAGCTCTGATGAACCTTTTTTTTAGTTTGCCAGAGGGCACATGCACTCACCGGAAAGAGACAGTGAGAGAGAGGGACAGCAGGAAGGAAGGCACCTCCCATGGAGCATGCCTCAGGCCCCTTTCCTCCACCTCTCCCTCCTTTGGGGATTTTAGGCACACATGCACACGCATCTGTTGGGTTTTCCAAGCCGCCGGGTATGGGACTCGAACTATGCGGCCAATCGTGTGTGATCCAGCCAGTTTAACCACCAGGCCACCGGCTGACCTGCTAAGCCTCATTCTACACCTTGAGGAAACAGGCTCAGAGGGATTAAGTAACGTGCCCAAGATAGCAAAACAAGGATGGCAAATTAAGTCCGTCCACTCCAGAGCCCCAGCCTGAGTCTAGAAGCTGGTGAGGGCTGAAGGAGCTTAGGACCACAGATTCCCCGAGGGGCAGTTCAGGGTCACCGCAATGCCCTGGTGGCCAGCTGAGAAGCCATCAGGCCCACAGTGTGAGCCAGGGTGGCTCCAACCACCAGGGGAACCCACCATGCGCATCTCTTCGTGGGTCCGTGTTCAGCGACCTCACATGCGCACCTTGAAGTGGGTGAAGGTCCGAGTATTTACATCCTGGAAGTCACCAACTCCCGTCCCAGGTGGGAGCGGTGGTCGTTAAGCACTCGGCGACACAGCCCTGGCCTTGCACACCTCTCTCTCACTTCCGTCTCCACCACTCCAGGGAAAGGACTCCTCTAAGGCTGGGGGACCTTATGGAGGGCAGCCAAGTAGGAGCTTGTCCAAACCAGTGACGGGACGTGTCTGAGGGATGTGTGGGTGCGTACCCCACTGCCCCCACCCCGTATCTAATGCCCCTTTCTCTGCAGCTGGTGTCTGGCCTAGAGGTGGCAGGACGGGTCCAAATGCGAACACGGCGGACGCTAAGGGGACACCTGGCCAAGATCTATGCTATGCACTGGGCCACTGACTCCAAGTGAGGCTTGAGAGGGGCGCTGGGTGGGCAGGTAGGGAGGAGAGGCTTGGCTGATGCGGGGTGCCTCTCCCCAGGCTGCTGGTAAGTGCCTCACAAGACGGGAAGCTGATCGTGTGGGACACCTACACCACCAACAAGGTACTGGCCTGCCCTCCAGGGGCCCTTCCCTAGGGCCACCACCTTGCCCCCGGCCCCCACCCTGCCTGGGAGCTCAGCTCAGGCCTGCCTCGGCCCAATCCGCCTGCAGGTGCACGCCATTCCGCTGCGCTCGTCCTGGGTCATGACCTGTGCCTACGCCCCGTCAGGGAACTTCGTGGCGTGCGGGGGGCTGGACAACATGTGCTCCATCTACAGCCTCAAATCCCGCGAGGGCAACGTCAAGGTCAGCCGGGAGCTGTCGGCTCACACAGGTGAGTCGGGCCCTCTCTCCCATCCTGAGGGCTCCAGGGAACCCAGGCCCCAGGTGGGTTGCAGTACTGGCCGGGGCACTGTCCTTCTCACCACCTCCAGGCTATCTCTCCTGCTGCCGTTTCCTGGATGACAACAGCATCGTGACCAGCTCGGGGGACACCACGTGGTGAGAGCTGAGGGCCGTGGTGCTGGGCCTTGGGAGGGCATTCTGTCCTGGACGCCTGAGCTTTCTCTGAGACCTTCTCCCTCCCTGGCAGTGCCTTGTGGGACATCGAGACCGGGCAGCAGAAGACTGTGTTTGTGGGGCACACGGGTGACTGCATGAGTCTGGCTGTGTCCCCTGACTTCAAACTCTTCATTTCGGGGGCTTGCGATGCCAGCGCCAAGCTCTGGGATGTGCGGGAGGGGACCTGCCGTCAGACTTTCACTGGCCACGAGTCGGACATCAACGCCATCTGTGTGAGCACCCCTCTCCGCTCCAACCCCAGGGGCCGGCTCCCCGACGTGCACACCCTCCCCCGCCCACCCCCAGCTGCCCAAGCCTTTGTTTTGGTTTCTAACTTCTTTTTTTTTGCTATAGGGCACAAGTGCTTGCTGGAGAGTCAGACACGGAGAGAGAAAACAAGAAAGCACCCCTGGGGGGGGGGATGATCATGCCACAGTCCCTTCTCCTCTTGGGATTCTGGACACACACACACACACACACACGCCATTTTCCAAGCCACCTGACCCGGGACCTGAACCAGACAGTCAGCCATGTGCGGTCTACCTGCCACAAATGCCACACCATCAGCTGACCCTGTTTTTAACTTTTCACTTTGAAATAATGTCACCTTGGGGCCAGCAGGTACTGTGGTGGTTTGAGTACTGGCCTCCCACATGGCTGACCACAGTTCAAGTCCTGGATCTGGTGGTTTACTTTCTCACTTTCTCTCTCTCTGTTCTCTCTCATGAGCACATGTGACCTACAGCAAATTTCAAAACAACAATAATAAATAAAATTGAATAATTATTTTTAAAAAAGAATACCACATTGCAGAGAAACTCCCATATACCTCTCATCCAGATAAACTGTTAACATTTACCATATTTGGGACCAACAGTTAGCGTAACGGCTATGTCACTGAACTCCCATGTAGTCGACCGCGGTTCAAGTCTCAGACCCAGTGGCTTAAACTCATGCTGGGCGCATGTGAGTGTGTGCCCAAGATCCAAAGTGGAGAATGGAGGGGAAGGGATTGTGGCGTGGCCATCCCTCCTGGGGGGTGATTTCTTGCTGTCTCTCTGTCTGGTGAGTGCACGCGCCCTATAGCAAAAACCTATCTGAAAAAAAAAAAAAGAAAAACAAACAGTTACCCTATTTATTTTATCACTCTTGTGCTGTAGAAAAATAGAGACACAGATAAACACACACTTAGGTATAGCTACAGATATTTTTTTTAAAAAAGTTTTTGCTACGGGGCATGTACACTCACCGAAGAGAGACAGAGAGGGAGAAAGGGAACATGAGAAAGCACCCCCCAGGGCAGGATGGCCGGGAGCCGTCTCCTTCTTCCACCCTCTTCTCAGGATTTTGGGCACGCACAATGTGTCTGGCATGTTTTTCAAGCTGCTGGGTCTGAGACTCGAACTGCATAGTTGGTCCTGGGGGATCCAGCCATCTTAACCACCATGCCATGGGCTGGCCCCCACATACATTTTGTTATTTCTGTTCTGGGTCTTTTTTTTTTCTTTCTTTTAAATAATTCTTTATTTAATTCTATTTTTTTTTTATTCTTGCTATTATTTTAGTTTGACCAGAGAGAGACAAGGAGAGAGAAAACAGAGAGGGAGAAAGGGAACATGAGAAAGCACCCCCCAGGGCAGGATGGCCGGGAGCCGTCTCCTTCTTCCACCCTCTTCTCAGGATTTTGGGCACGCACAATGTGTCTGGCATGTTTTTCAAGCTGCTGGGTCTGAGACTCGAACTGCATAGTTGGTCCTGGGGGATCCAGCCATCTTAACCACCATGCCATGGGCTGGCCCCCACATACATTTTGTTATTTCTGTTCTGGGTCTTTTTTTCGGCCATGTGGGAATCCAGCACCTTTACCCACCATGCCACCTGCCAGCCCCTGTTCTGTGGGTCTTTTGAGAATAGTTGCAGGCTTCAAGCCTCTTTACCCCTCAAATACATTTTTATTAAATATATATATTTATATATATATTAGTGTATATATATTAAATATATATACACACTATATATATGTATATACATATATATACATATATACATGTATACATATATACATATATACACTATATATAGTGTATATATGTATATACATATATATATACACACATATATACACTATAGTGTATATATATGTATATATATACACACACACACATATACATAATTTATTTAATCATTTGTTGTGATTTTCAAGCCACCAGGTCCAGGATTCAAACCATAGCCGGCCATGTGGGAATCCAGCACCTTTAACCACCATGCCATCTGCTGGTCCCACCCCTTAAAATACTCCATAAAAACTGTGTAGAGGTTGGGACCAGCAGCGTAATGGCTATGTCGCTGACTCCCATGTAGCCGACTGCAGTTTGAGTCCCAGACCTGGTGGCTTGAACTCACACCGGGTGCGTGTGCGTGTGTGCCCAAGATCCCGAGAGGAAAACGGAGGAGAAGGGACTGTGGCGTGGCCATTCCCCCGGGGGGGATCTCTCGCTTTCTGTCTCTCTATCTCTCTCTGTCTCTCTGGCGAGCGCACGCACCCTATACCAAAAACTTCTCCAGAATGCAGCAGTTAGGGGCTACATAGAGGAAGCTGGATCTCACGTGACCCACTGGAGGTGGAACCCCAGCCTGATCAGCTACATACCTGGCGCACGTGCTTGGACCCTGACAGGGTGGAGAGCTAGAGACAGGATTGCAGTGTGACCAGGTCCCCCAGGGAGGGGTGTTTTGTCTCTGGCTCATGTGTGCAAAACCTCCCTCCGGCATTTAAAAACAAATTAAAAACAGGGAACCAGCAGTTAGCGTAATGGCTATGTCGCTGGACTCCCACATAGTCGACCGTGGTTCGCGTCCCAGACCTGGTGGCTTAAAACTCACGCCAGGTGCGTGTGCGTGTGCCCAAGATCCCGAGAGAATGGAGGAGAAGGGATTGCAGCATGGCCATCACCCCGGGGGGTGATTTCTCGCTTTCTATCTCTCTGTCTTTCTCTGTCTGGCGAGCGCATGTGCCCTATAGCGAAAACCTCTCCCCCCCCAAAAAAAAAATTAAAAACAAAAAAACAAGGCCCCTCTCTAACATGGCCACGGTGTATTATCAAAATCAGGAAACTTACCATTGACACAGTACCAGAGTCTTCAGTCTATATTCAAATTTCACCAGTTACCTCAAAAATGTCCTTAATAGAATTTTTTTTTCTGTCCAGGCCCCCCAATCTAGAAATATGCATTGTATTTCCTTCAGTTTCCTCTAAACTGAACTGGTTTTTTTCTGGAGAGATTTTTGCTATAGGGCACGTGCACCTACGAGAGAGACAAAGAGACAGAAAGCGAGAAATCACCCCCAGGGGGGATGGTCACGCCGCAATCCCTTCTCCTCCATTCTCCTCTCGGGATCTTGGGCACGCAAAGCCACCGGGTCCAGGACGCGAACCGCGGTCAGCTACATGGGAGTCCAGCAACATAGCCATTATGTCAACTGCTGGTCCTGATACTGACATTTTTTAAAAAAGAATTATTTGACCAAAGAGAGACAGAGAGGTAAAGAGAGAAAGGGAGCATGGGAAAGCAAACCACCAGGCCCAGGACTTGGCCTAGTGGACCATGTGGGAGTCCAGCACCTTAACCACCACACCTCCTGCTGGCCCCAGTACTGACATTTTTAAAGAGCACAAACCTTTTCCCACAGACCTTCTTCCCACCCACCTCGAGATGCCACCCCCCCCCAGGGGGGATGGTCACGCCGCAATCCCTTCTCCTCCATTCTCCTCTCGGGATCTTGGGCACGCAAAGCCACCGGGTCCAGGACGCGAACCGCGGTCAGCTACATGGGAGTCCAGCAACATAGCCATTATGTCAACTGCTGGTCCTGATACTGACATTTTTTAAAAAAGAATTATTTGACCAAAGAGAGACAGAGAGGTAAAGAGAGAAAGGGAGCATGGGAAAGCAAACCACCAGGCCCAGGACTTGGCCTAGTGGACCATGTGGGAGTCCAGCACCTTAACCACCACACCTCCTGCTGGCCCCAGTACTGACATTTTTAAAGAGCACAAACCTTTTCCCACAGACCTTCTTCCCACCCACCTGCTGACTCCTCATGAGACTCGGCTTACGCATTTGTTCCTGGCTCCGTTCTTACACACCCTCATCAGCCCACTGTGCAGTCTTGACATCTGGGACCGTCTTGGCCCCCTGGCCCTGTGACCCTGGGCAGACCTGGGTGTTTTCCCTGCAGCATGAAAGATCCTGCCCGTAGCACTGCAGCCAGGGCCAGCAAACAGGCAGGGGAGCTCCGGCCTGCAGCTGCGGGGATGGCCTAGCTGTGCTGCTGCTCCCTCCAGGCCCAGGTGGCTGAGAGAAGCCACGGCCCTGGAATTACCAGCCAGGAGGCAGGTAGAGGACAGAGCTCCATGCCTGAGCCCGTCCTCCATGCCTGGTCCCTGTGCCCTCAGTTCTTCCCCAATGGAGAGGCCATCTGCACCGGCTCCGACGACGCTTCCTGCCGCCTGTTTGACCTGAGGGCGGACCAGGAGCTGACCACCTACTCCCACGAGAGCATCATCTGCGGCATCACGTCCGTGGCCTTCTCCCTCAGTGGCCGCCTGCTCTTCGCTGGCTACGACGACTTCAACTGCAATGTCTGGGACTCCATGAAGGTCGAGCGTGTGGGTAAGGGCCAGCCCCGCCCCGCACTGCTGCTCTGACCCTGTAACCCCTGGCTCCCACCGTAGGACCCGTTCCCACAGAGTTGCCCTAAGCAGCCTTTCTGCACCACCGGGTGCCATGGCCGCTCTCTGCCCACGGAGCTCCTGCGCATCCCAGGCCTGTGGGCCTTGGCTGGGCAGCTCCATGTCCCGGAGGCTTCAGGGCATCTGCTAAAAGGACAGCCTCAGGGACCTGTGGAGCAGAATCAAGATCTGCAGGGCCTGAGGGCCCTGACCCTATCCTGGGGGCTTATCCAGGATCAGCCTGGTCTGAAGTTGGCCAGACTGTGGCTTCCTTTTTTTTTTTTTTCCTTTTGGTTTTGGTCATAGAGCACATGTACTTGCTAGAGAGACAGAAAGTGAAAAGTCACCCCCAAAAAGGGATGACCATGCCACAGTCCTTTTCCCTCTTTTCCTCTTGGGATTTTGGGCATGGGCACACTCATGCCTGGCATGATTTTCAACTTGCTGGGTCCAGGACTCAAACTGCAGTTAGCCTTGTGGGAATCTCGTGCCCTAACCTCCAGACCACCTGCTGGTCCCATGGCTTCTTTTCTTGGGAGAGGCCAGGTGTCAAATGAAAATAGCACTGTTTAGAGGCAGGCTCCAAACCCTAGTTCTGTGGCTTACCTTCTGGTGACCTTGCACAAGTCGCTTCTCTCTGGGCCTGTTTCCCCATCTGGATACACAGGCGAAGGAGACGGGGTGCCCTCCCTGTGTGCCAGCACCCAGCAAGGTGCCCCTGGCTTTTCTCATGGCATTGACACGTCTAACCCCCACGCCCTGGTCTTGACAAACTGACCTCAGGAGGAAGCTTTCCTTAAGGCTAATCCTCTTTCAGGGTCTCAATCTCCTCCAGGGGCTAAGGATCAGCCCACTCCATCTGGGACTCCTGTGTGCGTGCGTCAGGGTGCGTGCATGTGCGTGCACACATACACACATATACACACGCGTGACTTTCCGAATTGCTGTGGAAAAAAATGCAGAAAAATAATGGACTCCATTCCCTCTTCCTCAGGTGTCCTCTCTGGCCACGACAACAGGGTCAGCTGCCTAGGAGTCACAGCTGATGGGATGGCTGTGGCCACCGGCTCCTGGGACAGCTTCCTCAAAATCTGGAACTGAGGAGGCTGGAGGAAGGAGGTGGAAGGCCCTGAAGACACCCAGCTGTCCTTTCCCCCGCCCAGCCTCTTCGGCTTTTGTCTTCCCAGGTGGCTGAGAGAAGCCACGGCCCTGGAATTACCAGCCAGGAGGCAGGTAGAGGACAGAGCTCCATGCCTGAGCCCGTCCTCCATGCCTGGTCCCTGTGCCCTCAGTTCTTCCCCAATGGAGAGGCCATCTGCACCGGCTCCGACGACGCTTCCTGCCGCCTGTTTGACCTGAGGGCGGACCAGGAGCTGACCACCTACTCCCACGAGAGCATCATCTGCGGCATCACGTCCGTGGCCTTCTCCCTCAGTGGCCGCCTGCTCTTCGCTGGCTACGACGACTTCAACTGCAATGTCTGGGACTCCATGAAGGTCGAGCGTGTGGGTAAGGGCCAGCCCCGCCCCGCACTGCTGCTCTGACCCTGTAACCCCTGGCTCCCACCGTAGGACCCGTTCCCACAGAGTTGCCCTAAGCAGCCTTTCTGCACCACCGGGTGCCATGGCCGCTCTCTGCCCACGGAGCTCCTGCGCATCCCAGGCCTGTGGGCCTTGGCTGGGCAGCTCCATGTCCCGGAGGCTTCAGGGCATCTGCTAAAAGGACAGCCTCAGGGACCTGTGGAGCAGAATCAAGATCTGCAGGGCCTGAGGGCCCTGACCCTATCCTGGGGGCTTATCCAGGATCAGCCTGGTCTGAAGTTGGCCAGACTGTGGCTTCCTTTTTTTTTTTTTTCCTTTTGGTTTTGGTCATAGAGCACATGTACTTGCTAGAGAGACAGAAAGTGAAAAGTCACCCCCAAAAAGGGATGACCATGCCACAGTCCTTTTCCCTCTTTTCCTCTTGGGATTTTGGGCATGGGCACACTCATGCCTGGCATGATTTTCAACTTGCTGGGTCCAGGACTCAAACTGCAGTTAGCCTTGTGGGAATCTCGTGCCCTAACCTCCAGACCACCTGCTGGTCCCATGGCTTCTTTTCTTGGGAGAGGCCAGGTGTCAAATGAAAATAGCACTGGTTAGAGGCAGGCTCCAAACCCTAGTTCTGTGGCTTACCTTCTGGTGACCTTGCACAAGTCGCTTCTCTCTGGGCCTGTTTCCCCATCTGGATACACAGGCGAAGGAGACGGGGTGCCCTCCCTGTGTGCCAGCACCCAGCAAGGTGCCCCTGGCTTTTCTCATGGCATTGACACGTCTAACCCCCACGCCCTGGTCTTGACAAACTGACCTCAGGAGGAAGCTTTCCTTAAGGCTAATCCTCTTTCAGGGTCTCAATCTCCTCCAGGGGCTAAGGATCAGCCCACTCCATCTGGGACTCCTGTGTGCGTGCGTCAGGGTGCGTGCATGTGCGTGCACACATACACACATATACACACGCGTGACTTTCCGAATTGCTGTGGAAAAAAATGCAGAAAAATAATGGACTCCATTCCCTCTTCCTCAGGTGTCCTCTCTGGCCACGACAACAGGGTCAGCTGCCTAGGAGTCACAGCTGATGGGATGGCTGTGGCCACCGGCTCCTGGGACAGCTTCCTCAAAATCTGGAACTGAGGAGGCTGGAGGAAGGAGGTGGAAGGCCCTGAAGACACCCAGCTGTCCTTTCCCCCGCCCAGCCTCTTCGGCTTTTGTCTTCCCTACCCCAGTACCACCCCCACCAAGAGTTCCCCTCTGAGGACAGGAGTGTGGGGAGTGTGCCTGTGGGAGGCAGCATCAGGGACCTGGGGCCAGAACTGCCCCATCTCCTCCCACGGCTTCCTCTCTCCAGTCCTAAGAACCTCTCCCTTAATGAGCAAAGACCCCTCTGAGTCCTTTGCAGCCCAGCAGCCTCTAGCCTGAGGTCCCAGCCCTAGACAGCCTCCCCCGGAGTCACTGCCTCCTTTCAGACCCAGCGCTCAGCCCTGTGAGTACGGCTCCAGCACCTCTAGGGTCCCGGCCCCCTTCCTCACGCTCTTTCCTTTGCTTTCTCTCTCCCATAGCACCTGCAATAAAGCATAGCACCTGGTACGTCTGCGATGCCTGGTTTCCACCCGCTCTGTTCCAGAGCTCCCAGGTCCCACTGAGGGGTAGTAACGTGTCACAGGTGCTGTGATAAAGGCCGGGTAGCAGGCGGCTTGTAGGCAGAGAGGGTGAAGGAAGAAGCCCAAGCCTCGTGCGGGGAGACTGCAATGGATCAGGAGAAGATATTCACCAGGTAGCTGGGGTGTAAGTAGGACAGCTCACTGCAGCCTGCCTGAGGTGCGTGTGTGGACGGAGGGTGATGAGGACTCTGGTTATAACTGGCCTGAGTGCCAGGCTAAAGTGTCTAGACTTTTTATTTAAAAAAAAGAAAGAGATTTTTGCTTTAGGGTGTGTGTGCTCACTAGAGAGACAGAGAGCTAGAAAGCGAGAAACCACGCCCCCCGGGTGGGGGATGGCCACGCCACAATCCCTTCTCTTTCATTCTCCTCTCAGGATTTCGGGCACACATGCACATGTGCCCAGTGTGAGTTTTAAGCCAGGTCTGGGACTCAAATTGTGGCTAGCCACATGTAAGTCCAGTGCCTTAACCACTATGTTATCTGCAGGCCACGGGTCTAGACTTTTTTTTTGGGGGGGAGAGATTTTCACTGTAGGGCGCATGCGCTCGCCAGACAGACAGAGAGAGACATAGAGACAGAAAGCGAGAAATCACCCCCAGGGGGGATGGTCACACCGCAATCCCTTCTCCTCCATTCTCCTCTCGGGATCTTGGGCACACACGCACACGCGCCCGGCGTGAGTTTTAAGCCACCGGGTCCGGGACACGAACCACGGTCGACTACGTGGGAATCCAGCGACATAGCCATTATGCTAACTGCTGGTTCCCTAGACTTTTTTAATCTATTTATTTAATGCTTCTGTGAGAAAGACAGACAGAAAGACAGGCATCCCCAACAGGCCTTTACTTGTGGGCTACCCCCCGTCTCAGCTTGCCCAGCTGCACCCAGCATGCTCAGAGAGGTCCTAGGATGTGAGCCAAAGACCTTCCCCACATGGGCCCTAACCCCGGGCCCTAGGCTTTATCCTAAGGGCAATGGGAAGCTGTGGAAGAATTTCGAGCAGAGCAGTGACAGTCAGTCATGTTCCTCAGAAGGATCTAGCAGCAGTGCAGGTTGACAAAACGCAGGGAGGAGAGACTGGCACTAGGACACGGTGGTGGGAGGTGAGTGGCAGGAAATATAAGAGCGACAGGACAGAGGGGCCAGGGAGAGGGGTTAGGGCGATGTTAAAGACAAGGTCACCAGGCTCCCTAGTGCTAGCATAGGAAATACTAAGAGGATGATTCGAGATGATGCCCAAGTTTGGGTCGGAGCAGCTGCGTAGACAATGCTGTTTTCACGAGGATAGGGAATAGGGGGATTGCTTTTGGGGGAAAGTCACAAATTCTGTTTTAGACAAACTGACTTTGAAGTGCTTATGGGACATCTGGATAAAGGTTAGGGTTAGAGAGACCTGAAAGTCACTAGAATATAGGTTAAGTGATAGCTAAAGCCCTAGAAATAATCACCAGTGAGAGCAGAGGAGAGGGCTAAGGACAGAGCCCTGGGGAACCTCATGAGTTATAGGAGGTAGGGACCAGTAGTTGGCGTAATGGCTATGTCACTGGACTCCCAGGTAGCCGACTGCAGTTTGAAACCGGGACCCGGTGGCTTAAACTCACGCCGGGCACATGTGTGTGCATGCCCAAGGTCCCGAGAGGAGAATGGAGGAGAAGGGATTGCGGTATGGCCATCCCCCCTGGGGAGTGATTTCTTGTTTTCTGTCTCTCTGTTGAGCACACGTGCCCTATAGCATAAACCTCTCCAATTATATATATATATATATAGGAGGTAAGCAAAAGAGGCTCTGATGTATCAGTGGGGAGACACTCAGGTCAGGGCCAGGGACTCTCCAGGCTGCCATTCCACATGAAGACCCAGTACGAGGTCACGGGTCACGGTCTAACCTTGTGAAGCACCATTTAGAATCACTTCCTTTGGGCCAGCTGGTGGCCTGGTGGTTAAGATGGCTGGAGCTCACATGGCTGGCCACTTAGTGAGTTCCAGACCCAGCTTAAAAAACACACCCCATAGAGGCATGTGTGTGTGTATGCCCAAAATTCCAAAAGAAGAAGTGGAGAAGAGATTGCACTGTGACCCTCCACGAAGGGTGCTTTCTCACTTATTCTCTCTTTCGCTCTCTGGCAAGCACACATGCCTTCTAACAAAATTTCAAAAGATAAATACATAAAATAAAATCACTTCTTTAATACACAAGAAACACACAAGACACAAAGAAAGCCCAGTAAAGCTCTCTTGGTCCCAGAATTAGTTGTTTAGGAGAAGTCAAAGAAAACAAGCTTTTCCTTAGTCCTGGTGGGAAAGAGGGATGGAGAGGCACAGTATCACCAGGCTCTGGGTGAGCCCGGTGTTAGGGCCATGCAGGGCTTAGTTTTCCACCAAGGAAAAGTGCTGATTCTCCTTGTCATGGCCCTGGCCTTGCTCCAGTGCGCGTCCTCCAGGTTTTAGAAGTCGTCCAGTTCCAGGAATGGCTCCTTCTTTTAGTTCCCTAACGTTCTCACTTAGGGGACAAGGCCGCTTACCCTGCAAAAGGCAGTGTATGAGTGGCGGGGTGGGGGCTGTTGTTCAGGAGGGTGATCGGGGTGAAAGGGCCTCCCACCCTCCATACTGGATATCATGATAACAGCTTTCACCTCTCTCAGTTTACCTGTCGTGATGTCAGGGTTCCAGGGGAGTTGTCATCCTGCAGGATGGTGAGGGGGGATCTCCCTAGGACCTTGCTGTTTGGCTTCCGTCTACTGCACTTAGAGCCTAGGGTGGGTAAGGAGTTAAAGCAAGAACCCAAAATTAGGGGCTTGAAGTTCATTCCTCCCACATGCATCCGTGAACATTGTCCCAAAACATTATCCCAGTATCTCTTCCCTCCCCCTTGCCCTTAGATTCTGTACCTGAAGATCGGGGAGTCTCAGGGTCTCTCAAGGGCTTGTCTCCACTCTGGCTGGCCACAGGAGTTTTGGGGGATTGTCTTGCTTCCTCCTTGGAAAAAGCTTGTTTGCAGGGGAGCTCAGTCTGGTTCCAAGATGGCATCTGGTCCTCAAGGAATAACTGGGTACCCAGAGGCAAGTCCAATTCAGAAGGTAAAGGTTCCTCCAGGGGCAGAACAGGCTCTGGGGGAAGACTCGATGTGGAGACTTCGGTCTCAAATACGTCACTCAGCTGTTTCACCAGTGGGCTCGGAGGATCTAGGGAAGAGCAGTGAAGTGAGCAGTGACCTTCTGATAAAAACCATTTAGCGAGGGACCAGTAGGTGGCGTGGTGGTTAAGTGCTGGACACTCCCACATGGCCAACTGAGGTTCGAGTCCCGGACCTGGTGGCATACTTTCTCACTTTCCTTCTCTTCTCTCTGTGCGTCTCTCACTGGTCAAATGAAAATGAATGAATGAATAAATAAAATTAAATAAATAAATAATTTTAAAAAAATTTAGTGGGACCAGCAGTTAGCATAATGGCTATGTCGCTGGACTCCCACGTAGTCAACCACAGTTCGAGTCCCGGACCTGGTGGCTTAAACTCACACCAGGCACGTGTGCGTGCGTGCCCAAGATCCCGAGAGGAGAATGGAGGAGAAGGGATTGCTGTATGGCCATCCCCCTTGGGGGTGATTTCTCACTTTCTGTCTCTCTGTCTTTCTGGCGAGTGCACGCACCCTATAGCAAAAACCTCTCAAAACAAACAAACAAAAACCACTTAGCAAAGAAGAAAAGATATAGGAGCCTTAGGATTCATCCCAGGTGGGTCAGAGAGTAGGTAGACAGAAATCAAGGTGAGGGAAAGCAAAATGTGAGAAAAGGTGCCCTGAGAGGATGGCTTCATTGATCCCACTCAAAAACGATGGGCTCACAGACGTTCTCTGGGCCCAACATGTACCTCCGCTGCTGGTCTTCATAGGTGTCCGTGCAATGCCAAGGGTAGGAGAGCGGGGATCTGTGTCCTGGGCTTGTTTAGGACCCTCCAGCTGCTCCCCTGCTGATAGGCTTGACTGTGGAGAGCTCTCCACCTGTCAGGACCAGAGGCTGGAACAAGTCTGGGCCCTGACCCTTTCCTCCTTCCCAGATTCCAGGCAGGAATTGCCAAGGGCCCCACACATTCAGCCTACCCCATGAAGATGGAGAAAACAGAAAACAAGGCTGGGACTAAGGGCAGGGGTGTGAGAGCTCTCAGAATCAGGGTAAGCCCAAGAATTCAGTTTGTCTTCCCCAGCGCACCCAGAATACCTACCTGGATGGGAGTACGCAGGATGCCGGCACTAGGAGAACGGGGGTCCGCCACTCGAGACAAAAGCTTGTTGTGTGGCGGAGGCTGTGCGGGGGTGACTGGGACGCTCTTGGCTGAGCCCATCTCAACTGGTAGGTGGGGCCCGGCCCGGGGTGCAAAGGGGATGCCTGTGAGGGTGACTCAGGTGTCAGTCCTTAGCGCGACCACACTGGATCCCTGACCCCAGACCCGATCTTTCCCGTTTCCAGGCGTGAAACCTCTTGGCCGTTGGGCCAAAGGACTCTAGCGGGTTAATGAATGGTGCAGCTGACCAAGCGGCCCCTTCTGGGCCTCCTGGGCCCTCTAACCTAGTCACTAATTTATTCAAACCACTTACCGGGCCCCAAGTCCACCTTCGGGTGTTCAGCAGCTCTAGGCTCAACTCCCGAAGCTACGAGTTTCAAACATCCCGCCACGCCCCTGACCCTGGCCCTATTGGTTGAGCCGACGTAGATTCCAATAGGCCCGCGGTGTAAGCCCCGCCCCCAGAGAAGAAAGCCATTGGTCGGAGGAGACGTCTTTAATGGAGATGGTGGGACCAATGGACTGAGGTTGGGCTTGCCTAGGGGTGGCGCCTCCTTGATTAAAGGACTTTTGTTAGTATCTTCTTGCAAGGCGTCCATCATGAGACTTTGAGACTCGCATCTGAGACCTCCAGTTTCTAAAACAAACGAGTTTATTGAGCGACACAGAATCCCCTGCTGAATTATTACGCTATTACACACAAGCCCGAGTGATATAACCTTTATTGGCTGACAGAGTTATCAATCACGCGACACACTCTCAGACTCCACCTCATTGGATAGCCTTTTTTCAAATACCGGGAAGACAATTGTCCTTCTGCTCTCGGATTGGACAATACCGAGGAAAGTGCTGGGATTGAGAGGTTTAGACAACCGTCAGTTTCTTCTCCGTAGAAGGCACGCGAAGGGACAGCAGAGGTTCCAGAGTGCGTACCTCGCAGCGCTACCGGCGCGCCTGCCCTGGAAGAGGGGAATTGGTTCTTTCGACTGTCAATCGCTTCAGACGCGTTTTTCATTGGCTTTAGTCAGGCTGTGCCCAACTGCCACTCGCGCGCGTCTTCCTCTTGACGCATGCGTCTAATAAGTGGCGCTCATTGGTCGCTGAGAGTAGGGGGTGGGGGACTGGGAACGGAGGGACCTGCTGTGTGTGTGGAGGAGCAGCTGCCGGTGTCATGGCGGAGCTGAGTGAGGAGGCGCTGCTGTCTGTATTACCGACGATCCGAGTCCCCAAGGCTGGAGACCGGGTCCACAAAGACGAGTGCGCCTTCTCCTTCGACACGCCGGTAAGCCCCTTCCCTACGCCCGCAGCGAGCACGACTTCCTTCCATCGCCCTGGTCATTCTGCCGGGGCCTGCCAGGCTTGGGCTACCGCCTCCCCGCGCTGCACCCTGGGACTTGTAGTCTCCCACGCTCCTGCCTGCCATTGCTGCCCATGAGCTGGGGCTGTCGTGTGACTACCGCCCCCGGAATCCGCCGCGCGCGTCTCGCCCGCTCCCGGTCTCGTGGAGCACTGTGGGCATTGTAGTCTCTCACTGCTCCCGCTGCCGTTCTAACCTAGCGGCGCGACCCGACCGTCGGACTACAGCCCCCAAGCGTACCCTTGCAAAAGCCTGGGAGCTGGCCTTTTCTGTAGCGCGCAGCTCTTCGGGTTTTGTAGTCTCGTGTGGGAGGGATGGGGGCGACTCCCCGCTGTCTGGGCCGGGGTTGGGGTTCGAGGGTGGGAACTGCAGTTGCGAGGCGGATAATCGTCTGGAAGAGGGCTGTGAAGAAGGCTGGTACTGAGAAAGGCCGAGTTAGAGAGCCTCCACCCATGGCTAATATGGACAGGGGGCGGGGATGTGGGTCATTCGTAGTGGGGAGGAGAGCAAAGCTCTAGTCGTTTTCCCTCTCAAGTGATCTCTGGCCACGGTCCCTTCCTTTTCTCACTTGCCCATCACAGAGGGCAGAAGGAACCCCTTGTAAAGCATTTCTGGAGAGATGGTTTCTTTCTTGGAGGGTGCCAAGGCCTCTTTTCCATCCTGCTCCCACTCTTGACTAGTTAGACAAAGCCACCACCCACACCGTGCTTCACGTTTTTGCAGGCTCCACCCGGTTCCTCCCTCCTGTGTCACCCTCCAGCAGAGACAGTCCTCCAGGACCTGGACTAAGAGGGCAGCACTTGGTTGGGATCCGCCCCCCACACCACCCCTCCCCTCAAGCTTCTGCTGGGCCCTGCCCAGAGTGTTGAGCCAGACCAGCTCATGGCCTGAAAACTGCAAGTCAGAGTGGAAAGGCTTTATAATGCATCGCCAGTGCTGAGTATAGCAGCATGGTCAGAGGCCCAGCTCCGGATCAGCTCTGGGATTTCTGGTGTGCTTGGTTTGCTGGGTTTTGATCTGGTGGTCAGATAATGGGCTGCTTCTCTGAAGTCTGGCTTTGGCTGAGGTGAAAGAGGACTGCTCAGGAGTGGAGCTCCAGGGTTCCCAGTCTCCAGCACCTTTTATTTCCAACAGAAGAGTTTATTCTTCAGAGCCCCCACATTCCTCCCAGGAGGGAAAGGTTTTTCTTAATTGCCAGCGAGTGGTAGAAATCACCGGGTCCTTCTTTACACTTAATTCGCCCCTGTCCTAAGTAACTAATGTCCTAAGCAACTAGTTTGAGTAATCGAGAAGGGTTTCGTAATCTTCTGACACTTTCTCTCCTTCATCCCAAGTCAAGAGAGCTCCAGTGTGGCTTGATTGCTTTGCTAACCAACTTACAGCCTATCTGATTATCTTCAAACTGGGTTCAAGGTAGAAAGAGACCTTAGCTGATCTCCCTGGTGAGAAATGCTCTATTTGTTTACGAACAGCTGGGACCAAGAGGTACCCCAGTGCCAGTGCCCTGTTTTTAATACCATAGCAGAGAAGTTTCCAAGGCCACTGAGGCCATTTTATTTCAGGAAGAAGATACCAGTTGTTGCTCAAAGACTTGACTCTGAGAGAAGATTCTTATTGTCTCCAAATACCTCCTCCACATTCTCCATCCAGTGTTTACAGAGATACTGGTGGACTTGCTCAACTCCAGGGGAAGTCCATCCTCTTTAACTGTGATTCAGGGTGGACAGCTTCTTTGCCACTTTTCCACTTGGATGTTATGTGTTCTCACCGTCTCAGCACATGTCGCTAGGTTGTTTTCAGAAGTGATGGCTTTGAGATTGGAGGTTGGGACTTTAGCGATGATCTTACTGGTCAAGAGTGGAGAGGAAGGGCCGGTAGGTGGCATAGTGGCTAAGGACGCTGGACTCCCACATGGCCAATTGCAATTCGAGTCCCAGACCTGGTGGCTTGCTTTCTCACTTTCCCTCTCTCTCCTTCTCTCTCGCTCATTCTGTCCCTCTCTGGTCAAATTAAAATAAATTAATTAATTTAATTAAATAATTCTTTTTTTAGTATATATATATTTTAATTTTAACTTTATTTATTTTTAACTTTGACCAGAGAGGGACAGGGTGAGAGAGAGGGAAAGTGAGGAAGCAAGCCACCAGGTCCGAGACTCAAACCACAGTCAGCCATATGGGAGTCCAGCTTCCTTAGCCACCACACCACCTGCCGGCCCCCAATTAAATAATTCTTTTAAAAAAAAAAAGAGTAGAGGTGAGTGACCAGCAGGTAGTATGGAGGTTATAGTTATTGGATCCCACATGGCCAACTCCACAGTTCAAGTCCTGGGCCTGGCAGCTTGAAAATCTCACTGGGCTTGTGTGTGTACATGGCCAAAATCTAAAGAGGAGAATGGAGAAGGGATTGTGGTGTGGCCATTTCCCCTGGGAGTGAGTTCTTACTCCCCCCGCCCTCTGTCTTTGAGCACACATGCCTATAGTAAAAACTGAAGGAAAAAAAAAAAAAAAAGAATGAGGGAAAAGATGGTGGCTGAAGAATGCTGGACTTCATGTCCCTGCCAGACTGGGTTTAGCTGTGAGTCCCAAACATGGCACTGTGCCCCTGGAGCCAGGGCTTCAACAGGAGAGGAGGGAGAGGAGTCACAGAGAGGCCCAGTAGAGTGGTGAAGGGAGGTCTGGGCTGCTCAGGCTCGGAGGCTAGGTGTCCTCTCTGCTCCTCTTCTGGAAGATACTCTGAACCCTGAAGATCAGGCAGGTTTGTGTCTCAGGTGACCCTGGCTTGGGTTCGTTGCCGACAAGAAGGTCTTTCCTCTTCCGGGAATGGATCCTTTTCCCCTCTGAATGTAGTTTCTGGCACTGGGAGTCTGTAGTTCTGGGTCCGCGTTTACTACCTGGCTCACTTGGTCCCAGGAAAGAGTCCCATGTGATTGACTGGAGGACCTGAAAGCCCAAAGGAGGAGCAGGAGGAAGATGAGTGGTGGCTGACAGGTATTGCTCGGCCCCCTGGTGTCTTTGTTGGTTGTTACCAGAGTCACAGGAGAAAATGCAGAGAATCTTAGCCGTGTACCAGGTCCTAAAAGGCTAAACACTGACAGTTTGCCAAAGGCCATGCGGTGTGTTAGAGTAGGACCTTTCCTCTGGGAGCAGCAGCTTTTGACTCAGGGCTTCGTTTTCCCACTCCCTGTTTCTCCCTTGCCTGCAGGAGTCCGAGGGCGGCCTCTACATCTGCATGAACACATTCCTGGGCTTCGGGAAACAGTATGTGGAGAGACATTTCAACAAGACGGGCCAGCGAGTCTACCTGCACCTCCGGCGGACCCGGCGCCCGGTAGGTGCTGGGCTGGGCTGGTGCTGGCACTTCAGAGACTTCCCACTGTCCCCGTTGTTGATCCATCTGTTTCATTCTGACCTTCTATCGGCCTCATTTTCTCCCTTTCACCTTCTTTTATTTGTGTCTTTAAAACTTGTACAGAGCCAGCAGGTGGTGTGGTTAAGGCATGGATCCCACATGGGCCAGTTCTTCAGTTCGATTCCCAGAGCCAATGGCTTAAAAAACACACTGAGTGCGACCGGCACATAGCGTAATGGTTATGTTGTTGGGCTCCCACATAGTTGACCGTGGTTTGAGTCTTGGACCTGGTGGCTTCATTTCACGCTGGGCATGTGTGTGTACGTACCCAAAATCTTGAGAGGAGAATGGAAGAGAACAGATTGCAGCGTGATTTCTCGCTTTCTGTCTCTCTCTCTCCAGCAAGTGCACGCACCCTATAGCAAAAATCTCTCCAAAAACAGAAAAAGAAAAACACACTGAGTGTGTGTGCAAGCATGCCCAAAATCCTGAGAGGAGAATGGGGGGACGAGATTGCGGTGTGGCTATTTTTCTGAGGTGTGATTTCTCACTTTGCCTCTCTGTTTCTCTCTAGAGAGTGCACGCACCCTGTAGCAAACTAAAAACAAAAACAAAAACACTTGATCGTCGCCAGGCTTAAGCTGAGGCCGGTTGACCCCCTGGCAGGGTGCAGAACTGAGACCTGGCCACAGTGTCCTGTTCATGCTCTGTGCTTGTGTCGAGGGGGCAGTGGTGGCTTCCTGCGTTCTGCACACAGGGGGAAGATGCCTCTGGTTGGTCTGGGTACCTGGGAGAGTGAGCCTGGCCAGGCAAAAGCCGCTGTTAAGTACGCCCTTAGCGTAGGCTACTGCCACATTGACTGTGCTGCCATCTACGGCAACGAGACTGAGATCGGGGAGGCCCTGAAGGAGAACGTGGGAGCCGGCAAGGGAGTGTCTCGGGAGGAGCTGTTTGTGATATCCAAGCTGTGGAACACCAAGCACCACCCTGAGGATGTGGAGCCTGCCCCCCAGAAGACGCTGGCTGACTTCCAGCTGGAGTATCTGGACTTGTACCTGATGCACTGGCTTTATGCCTTTGAGCGGGGAGACAACCCCTTCCCAAAGAATGCTGACAGGGCGGTACGCTATGACCCCACCCACTACAAGGAGACCTGGAAGGCTGTGGAGGCACTGGTGGCCAAGGGGCTGGCACGGGTTGGGCCTATCCGACTTCAACAGCCGGCAGATCGATGACATACTCAGTGTGGCCTCAGTGTGCCTGGCCGTCTTGCAGGTGGGATGTCACCCGTACTTGGCACAGAAGGAGCTGATTGCCCACTGCCAAGCACGTGGCCTGGAGGTGACTGCTTACAGTGCCTTGGGCTCTTCAGATCGTGCTTGGTGTGACCCTGGTGAGCCCATCCTGCTTGAGGAGCCAGTGGTCCTGGCTTTGGCTGAAAAGTATGGCCGATCTCCAGCTCAGATCCTGCTCAGGTGGCAGGTCCAGCGGAAAGTGATCTGCATCCCCAAAAGTGCCACTCCCTCTCGTGTCCTTCAGAACATCCAGGTGTTTGACTTCACTTTTACCCAGAAGAGATGAAGCAGCTAGATGCCTTGAACAAAAACTGGCGATACATTGTGCCCATGATTACGGTGGATGGGAAGAGGGTCCCAAGAGATGCGGGGCACCCTCTGTACCCCTTTAATGATCCATACTGAGACCACAGCTTCTTGGCTTCCCTTTCAGCTCTCCTGCTATGAGGTCCTGTCAACTCTGCAAGGGAGATAATAAAGCCGTCAGAGCAGCAAAACAAAACAAAACAAAAAAACCAAACTTGGTACAGATTTTTTTTGCCATCATTCTGCTTTGAGGTCCATACAGTTCAGCACTCTCCAGCCACCGCCTTTCCCCTTCCCCTCCGCTCGCTCTTTTCCCACTCTGAGCCCTGCATCCTCTCCACGCATGCCCTCCGTGGTGCTCATGGCTGATCCTGGCCTCCCTGCTTTGTTGCAGAGAGAGGAAGACGCTGCTGCGGGCACCGGAGACCCACCCCGTAAGAAGCCCACCCGGCTGGCTATTGGTGAGCACCACTGCAGTCTGTCCTCCCTGAGCTGGTCTCTCTTGCTGTCATAAGTACTAGGAAAGCCACCAGAATGGGCCTGACTGGTGACCTTGAGCTTTGCAGGGACGAAGGGAGGTGTGCCCTATGGGAGGAAGGACACTGACTCACGGTGGTTTTTTATTCTCCTTCCTCTCCATCCCACCAGGTGTCGAAGGCGGGTTTAACCTCAATGAGGAGAAGTTTGACTACGATGAGGATGTGAAGATTGTCATTTTGCCAAATTACCTGGAGATTGCCCGGGATGGGTTGGGGGGGCTGCCAGACATTGTCAGAGATCGGGTATGAAAACTTCTCACCCTATCATAGCGTCCAGGGCCAGAGGGGCCGCGCAAGCACTGACGAAGCTGAAGCATGCGGGGTGGGGCACGGGGCAGAGGCTCGGCTCTGTTCCTAACCCTCTGCTTCCCCAGGTGACCAGTGCGGTGGAGGCTCTGCTCTCGGCCGACTCGGCCTCCCGCAGGCAGGAGGTGCAGGCCTGGGACGGGGAGGTACGGCAGGTGTCTAAGCACGCCATCAACCTCAAGCAGTTGGACAACCCCGCTCGAATTCCACCCTGGTAAGCACAGCCCTTCCGTACGACCCCCAGAGCAAGAACAAAGTGTCCCCCTTTGGGGACATCTGGTGGGAAAGAGGGCAGAAAACAGGCCAAAGAGGGGAGTTGGAGGAAGGTTACCAAAGCATGGGGACATCTGGAGGAGATGAGAGAGAGAGCGTGCCGAGCTGGTAGCGCCCCTGCCTCCCTCTCTCACAAGCGCTGACCCCCCTCACCCCACCCCCACCCCCGCTCTCTTTCCTCTCCCTGGGTAGTGGCTGGAAGTGCTCCAAGTGCGACATGCGGGAGAACCTGTGGCTCAACCTGACAGACGGCTCCATCCTCTGTGGCCGCCGCCACATGGACG